GTAGTAGGGAGTATCCCACCCCTGAGGCAGCTTTGGGTTTTCCTGTTACACAGGAAGGGAGAGCGGGGTGTCTTTGGGGTGGGAAGAGGGTCCTGGCTGCTTGAGGAAGGGGGCATCTGTGGGTATCCCAGTCTGAGGCACCTCTGGGTGCCCCAGCAGGGCAATGGGTACCCCTGTCCATGAAGGGACAGTATTTCACCCTAAAGGGACAAGGGTCAGCCTGGGGCAGGTGTTACAGTCCCGTTGGGGGTGTGGAGCCTGGTCATGGACTGGGAGGCTTTATTAGACTCAGCTGGGGACTGAGGAGTAGGACTGATTATAAAGGGTGGGGATTTGGTTCTCCCCCTCCAGCTGGATGTGAGAGCAGCTCCAGGAACAGGCTCCTGAGACTCTGGTTATCAGATCAGGAAAACAACTTGAAACCCAGGTTAATTCTCCTTAGTCAAATAAAAAGTCTCAATATTAAGTGCTATTTTTGAAAAGCTAATTTTGCCAGCAATAAAATCCAATCTCTTAGAGTTTCAGCACAATGCAAAGAGCATCACGACTGAAGAGGGAGCTCTCCCTCTTGACCACGGAGCCACCTCCAGGCATCACCTGCTGGCAAAATGAAAACCAGCTGGATGACCTACGAGCACGTATGTACTTCTCTGGTGGGACTTTTCTATACGTAAGGGATATATTAGAGTTCGCTGCTAGATCTGGATTTGCTGGGTGGCATGTACTTTATAGGCCGTGTGGAATTTGGGAAAACGCTTAGGGGTTTTTTTTTTTGTTTTCCTTTAAAATAGCTTGGGCTATGGCTCGGTCAGTCTGCCTATGGTTTTGATTGCTGCGGGGTGGAACTGGTCTCAGATAAGATGATGGGTTTTTTATTCCTGGGTCTGAGCAGTGTTAGAGTTCTGTAACTGTGGGAGGTATGTGGAGACTGTTGGACAAAAATTCAAGTGATTTTGAATGTAATGCTTATGTTTTAATCTTGTTTTTAAAGAAATTTTAGGAGGTGCAGACACACCATATGAGAAAGGAATATTCAACCTGGAAATAGTTGTTCCTGAAAGGTAAGTGGGCAACAACATCTAGTTAAGTAGCTGGTGTAGTGCTTCCTTCAAATATAAGTTAACTGATATAAGATATTTGATGTAAGTGCTACTGTTTTGGTCTTTTCTTTAGCCTCCCAACAAAGAATGTGGTTGATTAGGTGAGACCCTTCATTTATGGAATGTAATTATTATTTCCATTGGCTGATACACTTATTTCACATTGGACATCCTAAGTTGTATGATTAACGACCTAAAAGCGCTATGACAAGATCTCTACCTTGTGATATTGTCTGAAAGCTTTCTGGAACGGAGCTCTCATGAGTAGAAAGTTTCCTATCACGTTTGCTTCTTTATGGAAAGCTACCCAGGAAAGTGCTAGTCAGACACAGCTGGAAGCATCAAAGGCAGAGTACTGCCTCCTCCAAAAATTTGTGGGGAACAATGTCACTTAGTAAACGGCTGGGAGAAGGAAATAATGGCATTGCTTGGGTGACGAAGCAACTGGCGTACAAATACAAAAATAATTTTTTGTTTCTTAACACTTATCCCTTAAAGGTACCCGTTTGAGCCCCCAAAGATTCGCTTTCTGACCCCTATCTATCATCCTAACATTGACTCTGCTGGAAGGATTTGCCTGGATGTTCTTAAATTACCACCAAAGGTAAGATAGTGCTACTTTGGCATGGGTAAGTGAGCCTGAAGAGGATAATGAACTCCTTATCTTTTTCTTGTAAAAGCCTTATTGAATGTCTGTTTGCTACTGACTTATTTACACAGGAACACAGGAGTAAAGTTTTTGAGTGGCATCTCCTTTGTTTAAAGACAATGTGACCTTCTTTGTTCCATAAAAGTTTCCAAGGTTTTAAGGGTTGGAGTTAAAAGGCATTAGGTGGCCCTGTGAAAATGGGCCACCCCAATACCGACCCAGCGGAGATGCTCAGGATGCAGCCTGTGGTCATGAGTCAGGCTTCCTCGGGGAGGCCACGGCCCATGTGTTGGGAATGGATCTGGTGTTTTCCGTGGGGGTTTCAATGCTCCAAGTCCTAAGGCAGCTCGTGAGCAGGTTGGGTTTAAATGCTGTAAGTCCTGAGGTTCCTCTAGGCAGCCTGTGGGCAGGTTTCTTTCTGCTTAACTGCTTTTCTCGCCCCGTTTCCTTGAAGGGTGCGTGGAGACCTTCCTTGAACATCTCCACGCTGCTGACCTCCATACAGCTGCTGATGGCAGAGCCCAACCCTGACGACCCTCTCATGGCAGACATAGTACGTGAGCTCCTCTTCCTCTCTTGTGGCCACAGACTGGGAAGGAACAGCGTGTTAGATTTAGGCTGTGCTTCCACTTCACTCACTCTGGATTAACATGCTAGCACGTTACGTAGCAGTGTAGCCTGATCTTGATCAGGCCTGGGGACGTGATTGCGTTTCCCTGAAGCAGCTGGGGCGTGCGGTACAGGGTTTATGCCAGCAGTGGAAAAGGGATGGTAAAGGTCTTGTCTTCAATCCTGCCAGTGCAAATGGCAGTGTGCACTCTTCAAGCAAACTAAAGCAAGGAAAATGAATTCTATGCTTCATGCTGCATGATTGTAGTGGCTTTGGTCTGGTTCTAGGAGTCCTAAAGCCAGACCTTAGTCCTAGCTTCTTGGTGTCGTTTGTATGAAATCAAATCTCTGTCTTGTCTTGCTCATTACGTTTAGTCCTCAGAGTACAAGTACAACAAGCAGCTGTTCTTGCTAAATGCCAAAGAGTGGACTGAGAAATATGCAAGCCAGCAGAAGAGGGTAAGAAACACACTCTGCTTTCCCAGCTGAGCGTAGCTCCATCTTTGTGAACAGCCTTTCCTGTCTCAGTTTGCCTTTTACGATCACTTTGTGCGGCTGTCTCTGGCAGCGTTCTTTCTTTCCTCCCCTTCTGGTGAACAGCCTTTCCTGTCTCAGTTTGCCTCTTATGATCACTTTGTGCGGCTGTCTCTGGCAGCATTCTTTCTTTCCTCCCCTTCTCTTCTGTGGTTTGAATGTATATTTAATTTCATTACGCTTTTTTTTTAAGATCATTAGATTCACTCCTTCCAAATAAATGTGTTCATTCACAAATAATTGCAGTGCTTTTCAAGAAGAATGAAGGACGAGTAAGACTGCAGCCTGATAAAACCCCTCCCCAGGGATCCTGCAGCCCTGTTTCTTTCTCAGCTCTGTTCCTAGCAGACTCCCTGTTCTGCTGTGGTTGTGCCTTATGCTCAGCTACGCCTGTTCCCCATCTGCTCATCCCTTCACTGACGGGTCTCCCTAATCCCCGATGGAGCGCAGCCTTCCTGCCATCACCCTTCCTCTTTTCCTGCCTCCATTCTGCACCCTGATTTATCTCACAGAGGAGTCGCATACAAATAAATTGCACTTAAGCAGATCAGAACCTGTTCCCAAAGATCAGTTATGTTCGGACCTTCTCCCTTACCTGGGTGCTTTCCCTCCCTGCACCTGATTTGGACAACATGCTGTCCGAGAGGGGATGTCTTCTACCTGGCAGCCCCACGAGCGGTGCTCAGTGCTCCAGCTCTGAGCACATTTGCAAGTTAATTGTGTGGGTTGTTAAAAGGACTCGGGGTGCAGAGGTCTTTACAGCAACATGCTTAGCCCCAGAGAGACCTGGCTCATACATGTACATGGCACTTCTAGGCTCAATCATTATCCTGCTCTCCTGGCATTCCCCCATCCCAAAATTTCCGGCAGTGGGAGCAGGATAATGAAGGGTCACTGCATAGAAGCCAGAAGCACGATCAGTTCTGATCGTCATGGAGTGCAGGGTGTTCCAAGGTGTACGCCCACAGAGCTGGGAATGCACAGCGGTGCTAATGGCTGTAAAACTAAATTATTCACAGCTGTTACTTTTATTTCTTGTGTTATCACAGGCTTCCAAGCCTTTGGAAGAGAAAATAAACCAAAGCGAAACAAGTATTGCCAATGAATCTACCGTGCAGAAAAGAAAAGGGAGTAATATCAGCAAGAAGGAGAAGAAATCGCGCCTGGATTCCTAGGTGGTTTTTGTTCTTGGTGTGGCTGTCGCCTTTGCTTTCACCGTCCTTTTCTTTTTACACAGGAATACCTCAATATTTTAACCAATATGTAGCTGTAGCAGGCTTTGTTTTTCTATTTCCTAGGGTTTTTTTGTGAAAAGTTCCATTATATAAATAAAATATAAAGCTTTGATTTATACATATTTTTATGTTTTGTGTGGAGTTTTTTGGAATATTCTGAAGAAAAGGAAAATTGGAAGTACCCATTCAGTTTCCGATTTCCAGCTTTCTCTCAGAGAAATAGCACCGAGTATTCCAGTTTCTATTTTACTGTCCCTGCCCCAGAACAAACTGAGAGCAGAAGCTGAGCAACAGACACCTTAGGCCTAGTTTGTGGAAATCCTTCTCTAGTAAAGGCTTCATTTTCCTTGCAACATCAAGGCTACTAAAGGATAAGTCGGTCATTAAAACTTAAGACTCCTAAGACTTAAAACTCCTGCTCTCTAGAGCAGCCTGTTAGATTCCAGGTGCACCTTGGACCATTTAACATGACCTGGGCTCTGTCTCCAGGAGGTGGCCAGTGGAAAGCACCAGCTGAGAGGGATGAAGAAAAGCCCAGAGGTTCCCGGAGGTGTGGAAGAGAGCAGGGTGTCAGGGAGGCAAGGCGCAGGGCGAGAAGCCGGAGAGTTTAGGAGGGAGGAGGGGAGGTTTTGGTGGTGCAGCAGGTCAGAAGGTGCGTGGGGGGCATGACTCCCTGTCACCAGAGCTGTTTAATTTTGTGAAGACCCGTGGCAGATCGCAGTGGGAGCAAGTTTGATGCTCAGCCTCCTGCTCTGCATGGTTGCCTGCAAGGAATTTAACCTGTGTCCCACCCCTGCGCTGAGAAAAGCGAGCTGGGCCCATCCTTACGTGTCTGCTGGAGCAGAGATAGGACTCGGGGAAGTAATTGGAGTGCTGAACTACAGAGCTGTGCTCTGATATGCGAGGAAATGGAGTGTCCTTCCCTGCTGCTGTTTCCAAAGCCCTTGGCTTGTCTCTGCTGCTTCATCCTGCTCAGTTGAAGTTGTAATAAAGGCAAAAGGCAAAGAACATGGCAAAGATCTAAAATGACGGGGGGGAGTGGGTTAGCCCCCTGCTGCGAGGCCACGCTCACACCGTGCTGCGGCTGCTTCTGAGATCTGACAGCCTGAAGACTAAAGGACCGCTGTCCTCTGCTCCTGGTCTAACCAGGCATCGGGTGATGGCTGTGCCCCCTCGGGGGGGCCGCACGCCAGCTGTCCTGGTGCTGCGCAGGGGACACCATGGCGGAGGAGGCACTTCTGACCTTCCCGAGGTCTGCAGAGAGCCTGACGCACCTCCCCTCCGGGGCCTGTGGGAGCAAAACAAACCCCCTCCCTCCCCAGTCCTTTAACCCGACCCATCCGCAGCGGGAGGTTAGCTTTACACCCCGAGACAGACCTGCTGTATGTGCACCCACTTTCTGGGTGTGATCATGATAGAGGCTTGGGTGGGTCCACCCTGAGCCCGTTTGTGGTCCCTTCACACCCACAGACCACCCTCCCTGCAAAAAGAGAGCCCGTGCGAGGTGACCCGCTGCCTGCCCTGTCCCTTCCCGTCCATCCTGTCCCCTCCGGCCCCGCTCAGCACCTCGATGCGCAGCACGGCCGAGCTGCAAGTCCCAGGGACAGAGATGTACTTCTGCAAGGTCCCGCCAAAGGTGGAGAAGCAGCTCTGGGGGGAGGGAGACACTGGAGGGGCTCCCTCGCGCTCTCCATGGCTGCAGGGAGCTCAGAGGGTGACCAAGGTCTGGGGAGATCGGGGGGTGTGGGGACCATCATGGTGGGGCAGGACGAGCTGGGGACTTGGGGGTTCACTGGGCTGCAGAAACACGGGCGGGCAGTGTCCCAGGCTCCTGTCCCTGACGCTAAGGGGCAGAGGGTGCTGCTGTCCCACTGCCACGAGCCTGGGAAGTGCTGGGGACAGGACAGGGACACGGCAGGGTCGTGTCCTACCTGCTCGGTGTTTGTCTGGGGTCCACAAGCCCCTCATCTGCATTTGGGATCACCCTTGACAGGTCCTGTGGGTGCTCCACACACCCCCCACAGCCCACCAGGAGCCTCCCGGCTGCTCACCATGACCATGAGGGTGTTCCAGGCGGTGGAGAAGACCTCAGCACCCTCGTCCCTGCGGTAGTTCCTCCACAGCTTGGACAGGAAGAGCTCCGGCTGGATCTATGGGATTGGTGCCATCTGTGAGCACTGGAGGACCAGGTCCAGGAACGGGGCCTTGGGGGCTGCACACCCACCCTAACCCACCCCTGCCCGGCACCACGCTGCCTAGGGCACCAGCTCCCTTTGAGGGGATGTGGGGACCCATCCATGGGACCCACCCACCCGCGTTCGGGCTTGCGTCAGGGTGCTGGTGATAAAGGTAAGGGTGAGAAAGGACATCCCCACACCAGTCCCAGTCCCCTGGGGGACTCACGGCCATGACCCATGGCATGACGGAGGGAGGAGAGGGGCTGACCACGCCGGACACGGTGTCAGGGCACAAGGACGGTACCTGTGTCCAGTGCACCAGGAAGAGAACAGCCCCAATGAGCTGCATGATGAAGATGAGGCTCACGAGGATGAAGAACTGGAAGGCAGCAAGATGAAGGAGTCAGTGAACAGCCCAAGCCCACGGGCAGCTCACTCCGGCTATTCCTCCCCTCCTCTGCAGCCAGCCCTGCTCGTGCCCTGTGCCCCTGAGACCGGTGGGACACAGGGGACGAGTGCGCAGCTCCTGGGGACAGATGCCACATCTCCGAGCACTGTGGCTGCAAGGCGGAGGGTTAAAAACAAGCACGGGCTGCCAGGATCTGGGGATGCCAAAGAAATTGGGATGTCGGTGCTCAGAAAGGGGTTTCTAACCCTCATCACTGAGGGGAAAAGCTCAGAAATGCCATTTGGGAGAAGGCAGTGGCTTCAGAGAGAAATGGCCCCACTTAGTGGCTCTACAAAATCCTCTGGGCTCTAAATTCAAAGACTCACAAGGTGGGGACTGGATTGGGATGTGCGCTGAGGGCTGACGGGGCCAGGATGGGGAACACTGGGCTTCTGGCTCCTCTGAGGACACCCTGCATCCCCCAACACCCTCCATCCCC